CTTAAGCTTGAATCCGATGTGTTTTGGGGAATTTGATGTTGTTTGTAGCGCTTTGAAGATTGGTACAAGTTTGAATGAGATTTTAGGATGTGTTGGTTCCTTTGGTTGAGGTCCCGGGGGCCTCGGGTGTGTTTCGGATGCTCAACGGGTCATTTTGAGTTGTTAAAAAGTTATAGAATTTCAGGTTTAGTTGTTGCAGACCTTTCCTCATCACGATCACGTGGAGAGTATCGCGATCGCGAATGCTTAGGCGAGGCTGAGGGGATTTTTCTCTTCGCATTCGCGTGAAGAGGGATGCGAACGCGTAGCTTTGGGGCAGTGTTGAATCACGAACGCGTGGGCTAGGCCGCGTTCGTGTAGAAGGAATAAGGGGGCAATGGTTGTTGAGTGTTTCTCTACCCGCTCGCGTGAAGCCAACCGCGATCGCGTAAGTCTGAGGGAGCTAGCATCGCGTTCGCGGACGGGTTCCGCATTCGCATAGAGTAATCTGAGGCGCGTGAATTTTTGTTCTTCGCGATCGTGACTGGCCTTACGCGATTGCTATTAAGGAACCCAAAATCGAGGGTTTAGACCATAATTCATATTTTGGACTTGGGAGCTCGGGAGATCACAATTTTTGAAGGAATTTTCACCCGGGCGACTTGGGTAAGTGATTCTTACTCGGTTTAGACTAATTTCCATGAATCTTCACTTAAATTCATCATTTAATTTTGGAATTTTGGTAGAAATTGGGGGAAAAGTTCTTAGACCAAGAGATCAGGTTTTGATTGGGCATTTGACAACAGATTAGGATAATTTTGATATGGTTAGACTCGTGAGAGTGTGAGAGTTCTGAAAATGTAAATTTTACCCGATTCCGAGACGTGGGCCTGAGGGTCATTTTGGTCATTTTTTACATGATTTCGCGTATTAGCTTAGAATTTAATTGTAGAATCAGTTACTTGAAGTGTTATTTACATTATGAAATTGAATTGAATAGATCTGGGCCATTTGGAGTCGAGTACTCGCGGCAAGAACGTGGTCTCGGGTTGATTTTTGAGCCGGTTCGAGGTAAGTGGCTTGTCTAACCTTGTGTGGGGGACCTTCCCCTTAGGATATGATATGTTTGATATTTGAAATGCCTTGTACGTGAGGTGACGAGTGCGTACGTGAGCTAATTGTTGAAAATCCGATTTTTCCTTAAGGTAATTCACTTAAATTCTTTTCCTGCTTTATTATACTTGCAAATTTAGCATGTTGTATATTAGAAAAAAACATGTTTAGTTGACTTAAATTGCCTATTTGCTTAAATTGCCTTAATTGCATTACGTGAAGCATTTTAGGCTAGAATCACCTGTTTACTTAGCATGAAATTTAGCTTAATTGAGTATTCTCGTGTTGCTGCTGTGTGCTTTACTTTGGGACTACGAGACGGCATCCCGGGAGATCCCCTATACGTATTTATGATCAGAACTGAGGTTCGGGATACCAAGAGATCCCTAGCACGTATATTGAGGATACCAAGAGATCCCTGGCACGTTTATTGAGGATACCAAGAGATCCTCGGGATACCGAGAGATCCCTAGCATATATTGAGGATACCAAGAGATACTCGGGATACCAAGAGATCCCCGACATATATATATATATATATATATATATATATATATATATATATATATATATATATATATATATATATATATATATATATATATATATATTGAGGATACTGAGAGATACCCGGTCTTAATCCTTGTTACGAGTAGTATTTTTCCTTGTGATTCCTTTATCTCTGTTTCAATTATTGTATTCCTTATTATCCTGTATTAAATCCTTACTGTTGGTTTACAATATTACTGTTTACCTTATCCTGTCATTTTTATTATTATTTATTAATCTCAGTAGGGCCCTGACCTTCCTCATCACTACCCGACCGAGGTTAGGCTTGGCACTTACTGAGTACCGCTGTGGTGTACTCATGCCCTTTCTACGCATGTTTTTCATGTGCAGATCCAGGTACCTCTACCCAGGCTTACCACCCTTGAGGCAGGGAGATCTTTCGGAGACTTCGAGGTACATCTGCAGCGTCCGCAGACCAAGGAGTCTCTATCTTTATTCTATCATGTAGTGTTAGCCTTTCTATCTTACTGTTGATGTCGACACTCTGGAGTTAGAGCACTTTACTCTATTTCTTTCAGCCTGTGTTCCCGTGAGTTTCCGGGTTTTGGGAGAATGTTGTAGGATTTTGAGATGTTGAGGTGTATATGCCGAGCATCATTTTATATATCGTTTTCCTTTGGTTATTCTTGGATTTTAATTTACATTTCCGCAAGTTTTCTATTTATTTTCCGCACTTGTTAGGCTTACCTAGTCGTAGAGACTAGGTGCCGTCACGACGGTTCACGGAGGGCGAACTGGGGTAGTGACAATCAGGTTCCTGATCTGGTACTTGTGCACACTGCCCAGATTGTCTTGAGTTGAGTAACTTGAATTATTGTACTTTAGTTGATCAGAGAATGAGCGGGCGCTGGAAATAGTGCAGTGCAGCAGAATCTTCGTTTCCAGCTGTGTCCAATTGACTTTGTACTTCCGTAAGGAACCCACAAGAGTATCAGGTCCTTGTCTAGGTTCCTACCTCCTGAAGTTGTAGCAAGTTCACATTTGGCTGGAATCCGTTAGATACAGTGTAATCCAAGTGAGTCAGGTTCCTTATCTGGTTCTTGACATTAAGTTTGTTAGATCATCAAAACACAAGACAAAGATATTGAAAAAATATCAGTTTCCCCCTTTTTGATGATGACAAACTTAGCATTGAATACGAGAAGTTAGAGTTTAGAGAACCAGATTGAATAACAGGATACCACAGGTTCCCCTTTACTTTATGCCCTTACTTACACATGTTTCGCCATATGTTCCCTCTAACTTTTTACTATCATTCTTGGTCTTTTATCTGGTTCCATACAGAAAGTTTGTTAGATCATCAAAATATAGATTAAAAGACCTTAAGCCCATCATGTATAGATACGTATTATCGGTCATTAATAGGCATTAATCACGGAAGACATTATGGAATCCGTATTGAATCAGTTATGATTACCAATAATAATGTTACATTAAATGCCATTAATTGTCCATAATGACTCTATTATGAGAGAAACAAAATGTATTACTTAGAGATAGCTATAAAAGGTGAGGACTGAACATTTGTAAGGACACGAAATACTATTGAAATATGCTGATTTACTTTGCTTTCTATTCTATTATTATTTACATCAATTATTTCCATTTATATTTGATTATCAGTAACCCAAGCTCTTCTAAAATTAAGCTTTGACTAAAATCCCTATTTTTGGTTAAACAGTGAGGTTCTCTGTGCAAACAGCCTCACTGGGGCAATGTGGGGAGGAGGGGAGAGAGAAGAGGAAGAGAGAGAGGATAGAAAGAAGGAGAGGGTATAACTAAATCCCTTGATTGAAGCCACAAATAATGGATTGGGAGCCTTTTAAGGTGGATTGTATATATTTGGTAAACAAAACTTGTTTATGCCAGGTAATTAGCTAAACATGGACATTAAGGGTAATAAAGTTTCAAATAGTATATATGTATGAAAAGATCTCATTATTTTAATTTGATTTTTATATTCAATTAAGGCATAATACATAGATATCCTCTTAAACTAGTCCGTATTTACATAGACAGCCCTTATGAACCTGGGCTAAGTGTTTGGCCGATTTGTGTTGTTTATCATGTTTCTTTTTTTTGTTTTGTTTTGAATTTCTCTGTTTGCATTGATTGCGTAATAGATTGAGTTCCGGCCAAAAATCTTTTCTCATTTATCATCTATTTTACCACTTCGCTTTCCTTTAGTTTTTCAGATTTTAGCAGTCACAAATACTTGATTTGTTTGGGAACGTTAAATTTTTCATCCATTCACGCACCTAACTTTGGGTGTGAAACACGTGTTATGACATGTAAGCAATGAGTGTCTAATAGATACACTTCCACCTGAGTTTAGGTGTTCAATTGGTCGTTGTCTCAGCTGAAGAGCCAAGATGAAAAATACGGACTAGTTTAGGATCACAAAACTACAAACTTTGTATCCCTCTATATATGTGGAAGGAGAAGAGATTTATATTAAGACTATCACATTTAGCTATCAAAATATTTTATTTTAAGCCGACATCAACAAAAAATGTATTGTCATATCAACTAAATAAAGCTTCTACTAAAAGTTAGAACTTAGTATTCAGATAAACTAGATAGCTATATAAGTTACTGAATGTGAGTTACAAATCGCGACTGCTAAATGTGACTTATAAATCGCCTAACTGAATGCGTCTTATAAATTACGATTGCCAAATAAGACTTACAAATCTCAATAACAAAATGCGACTTGTAATCACAATCATTAAATGTGACTTATAAATTGCAATCAGACTGCGACTTATAAATCGCCACTTCTGCATGCTATAAATCGTGACGCTAACAGCTTGTTTGGATGGATGTTACGCATCGTTTCATAATGTATCGTATCATATTGTATTATATTGTATTATATCGTTGGATAAATACAATGTTTGAATAGCTTGTGTCGTTTGGATCGTTTCATGATATCACACACCAGCAATATGAAAAATAAACTTGCAATATTATAAAGAAAAATTATGATTCAAGGTAAAATTACTGTATAAAAAGGCAGGGTAAATGATAATTAAAATAATTTAATAATAATAAAGGGTGAGATTGAGAGATTAAGACAAGGTAACGACACGACCATACCAAATCGGTCGTTACATAAAGTGGCACATTTCGTCGTTATGTAACGACTGATTTAACGACATGATACAATAAAATTTAAGTGACAATCAAAACAAGTATTGTATTTAAAGTAACAATACAATACGATACAATAAACAACGACCATCCAAACAAGCTAAATGTGATACGAGTGCGACTTATACATAGCGATTACAGACTGCAGACTTATACATAGCCATTATATAAGCAATTGCAAAACATCACAATTACGGATCTTATAAATATCATAATATATATGCGATTTGTCTTTTCCCAGTAAGTAAATGGCATCCGTGTGTTCACATCAAAGCAACATACGAAGCAGCACATTCATATTCCAGAACCCCCTCGCACACATCTAATTGCGGTTTGGAAGCTGATAAACCAGAAATGGGGGAGATGAAGATGCAAGAGATATCCTTGCCAGCTTTATTCGAGCAGTCTCGAAAAATTCATTCAATTGCATCTGAATCCACCGTTGATCAGGTAAAATTTTGTATTTTTGTTCTTTCATAGCGGAATACTACTTAAAAATGTTTTTTTTCCCGCATGATTTTATAGTAGTTGTAATATTTGAGGCGGATTCAGCATACAAACAGTAATGGCATTATGGCACTTGCACGCACGGTCTCGAGCTTGAATTATATATTTCTATACAAATATTGTGTGTGTGTGGGTGTCTAAAGAATGAATTTTGTGTCTGATTTAATGTATTTGTGTCAAAGGTGAATCCAGCTCGCAGGCGCGAGCTCGAGCTGTATATGCATCGATATAAAAGTTATCAGATTCTTTTGAGATATATATATATATATATATATATATATATATATATTAGACTGTGCGCATGCTTTCAAATTTTGTGACTCAAAAATAATGTATTTTGTGCATTATTTAATGTATTTGTATCAGAGGTGCATTCAGCTTACAGGTGCGAGCGCGGGCTATATTGGCAGATTCGTTTGGGATATATGCATATATATTAGGCAGTGCACTTGCTCTCAGATTTTGTGTCTCGAAATAATGTATTATGTGTATGATTTATTGTATTTATATCAGCGTAGAGGAAACGCACTTACTCTCTCGAGCTTGGACTATTTAAATTTATAAAATTTTAGAGATTTGTATATATACTATCTAGTCGGTTGTGTACGTACTTGTTTCAAATTACGAGTCCACCTCTAATTTGTTTTTGCCGGTTGTGGATTGTTAGGACATTGTCAAAAAAGGTTGCGAGCTTTTGAGACAATGCGAGGAGATGGTCACTAAATTAGGATTGTTCTCGCTCAATGAGACAAAAGATGATATTAGCACTGCTAATCTGAAATATATCCTGGTAAGTAGTTTTCATAAGTAAATTTTTCTCTTGTAATGATAATTTATCCTATTAGTTTTGTTTGGTTCCTAAGAGTTTGGATGGGAAAGTTGGGATTCACCTTCCCTAATTTCTTTTATTCTAATTCAAAGAAGAAGCTACTACTCTCCTTTCTTGCAATTGTATCTATTTATTATAAAACTTGATGAACTGGTGTGCATGTGTTCATTTTTGGGTGGAGTTATGAAAGCTAAATTGTTATCCAATTATTGCTATTGTCATCATTTAGTGCATGAATTAGTTCTATTCTATTTTGTTTCATTCTTTGGTAGTATAGGTATTGTAGGTATAAGTGTGAGATTTGGAAAACCTTCAGCTTCAAAAAGGCCCTAATTTGTAATCATTTTTTTTTGGTAAGTAAATCCTAGAAGTCAAATAATTGAGTATTGGAATGAAATGAGTCCCGACGATATCATGGCTCATGTCACTGATCGAGGCATAGTTATTGTTGTTGTTCTCTCTAATAGCTTAAGCTTTTAGATGAGATGGTCACATACTTCATCTGTTAGGTTTGGTTATGTGAACCCTAAATCTCCAATCCACTCTATTTGGACTCGTTTCATCCAAATATTCTTATTAAGACAAACTACAGGTTTTTTTTTGCACTAGAGGGTCTCTACATTTTATCATTTTTGCAAGACCAAACCTGGAACAAAATTATTCTCCAATCTAAATGCAACCTTATAAAAGGCCTAACAGTAATTGGTTTTATGATCATGAGCAACCATTTGAATGTCTTAGTGTCAAGCATCATATTTGTGGTTTCTTTATTTTGTTCTGCTATATTTGTGCTACTGCAGATCTTTCCCCTCATCTCGTCTTATCAGATTTTTGTCATTGCAAACAAAGAAAGAATTTGATATTTGAGCATGCTAGAGATGTTTATATGAAATTGAATCTCATTTCAGGTAGTTTTATGGTGTTCAAACATGGAAGAAAATGTAACGAGCACGCTAGATATGTGTAGTAACTAGCTTTAAGTAGTGTCAAGCACATCTGTGATTTTGGGGAATAACTAGAAAAATTGACTTTGTCAATAAGGAGGAGTGAACCTTGAAAACTCATGACGCATGGATTATCTATCAATTGAAGAGAAACTTGATATATAGAAGCTAATGTTCCATCGTTTCAGGTGCCATACTATCTTGCAGAGCTAACAGAAAAAATTGCAGAAGATAATAGGATAAAAGTACTCAAGGTTTCACAAGCCAAGTTAAAGGTAAATTGTTGTGAGCTGATAACATGCCATACATTTATGCTATGCCAAAAGGTTAGCGTTGATGTTGAATTGACATCTCAGCACTATATTTTGGCAATATCTCTAGGAATTCATTTCATTTTGTGAGACAATGGAGCTTGTTCCAGAAGAGGAGATAGAGACATCTACACAAGGTGGAGCTAATTCTTTTGCAGATCGTAGAGCTAAGAAGGTAGATGGGAGTTAACGTTCAGTTAGAATTGCTGTCTGTGAAGATTACTATTAGGTTTCTTTGTTTTAAAAGAAGGGTTTCTTTCTTTTCATTCTCATGTTTAGATAGATTATTTGAGTTACTAAGCGCATCATGTTTATGAAAGATTGCTCGATTCAAACGCCAAAGAGCTGCTGAGTCAAAGCTGCTTGAATTGAAGGAGCGGAAGGAGCGTCGTGGGCGATCAACTAAAGCAGCTGCGTTGTCTACTCCTGTCGAGACTGGAGAAGATGATGTGTCGGATGATGATGGCGAAGAAGAACGAGAGGTTAGTAAACATCCCTATTTATGTCCTGTGCATGAGCATGATCAATGTTGCGAGCTTCTTCTTCCTTATATTTTTTGTTTTATTCTATGTTGCAACTTCTATCACATCGACTGCACTTTTAGGCCAAGTCATCCATATTGTTCATGCTCATGCACATGACATATACGGGTGTTTGCTGATTCAGCATTCATGGATCTGCATTTGCATTGGCATTTGTCACTGCTTTTTGAGTTTGTCTATGAGAACAATCTAAGATCAACCTTTGATTCTAATATCCTCAATAGGATGTGCTGAAGAAATCCATGATGTAACCTTCCACATTTTGTATTTGATATCTCTGAGGAATCATGATTTGCCCTTTAGATATCATTTAATATGTTAAATTCACCCCTAAAATACATATTTCCAGTTTGTGATGCAAATTTTGCTGTTGCCTCTTTTGATTGTTTTTATACTCAAATTTTGATCGCCACTTCCATAAAGTGTCTGATTAATGGGAACTACTTCCATTCACAGGCATGGCTTACAACCATCTCCTTGGCCCTCAGTAAGGTTAGCCCACATATTCTGTGTTTCTGGCAGTGCATTTACTTTTTATTTCCGTGTATGCCTGTTACCTTATCTTTATCATCCTTCAATTACTGCCCTACAGGCTTTTGATCTGCTTGAAATGCTGAACAAAGAGGAAGAAATGTTATCTGCTATTAATGAAAGGCAGCTTCAGGTATTATTGAACTTAGGTTGATTGCATTCTTCTTGGCGCCTGTTTGTAATTGTGTTGTGTAGCCTCTGTTCTGTAATTACAATTTGAATGTATGTGTTCAATCCGCATTTTCAGCTTGAAATAGCATTTACTGCAACACTGTTCTTTTCCAACTCTGAACTTTCTGGCTTTTATAGTGCCATTTTAGGACAGAACTCTAGTATTGTTGTCTCTCTTATATTTTTGCATCATGGCCTACTATTTATGCAGGATGGGGAGAACGAATTTTCTCAGATAGTACTTGATGAACGCACCAAAAAAGCAGAAACTTGGCATCGTGATGCTGCTGCTCGAGCTCACTACACAAAACCTGCAGCACCTATCACCTGTGCTACTTTCGCTCAAGATGTCATAGAGGGAAGGGCCACAGTTTCACAGGCACACGAACATAAACACCAACCGTTAATTTTTGGACCAGCAAGTCTTGTTGGTAGAAATCCAACAACCGAACGAGAAAAAATAGCAGCACAGGTTTTTCAGCCTCATTATAGGTACTTTCTTTTAACCAATAACTAAGATGCCCCATTATCTTAAGTAGCAAGATAAAGAAATAAGCTTCGAGGAACTTAACCATAACATCTTCATTTCAAACACTAGATTACCAACCATGAGCATAGAGGAAGCTGGGCTAACGGAGATGAATATGATGAACGAATGGCAAGAGAGGAACATGAAACTCATGGAAGAAGCAAATTCTTCATGGTACAAGGATGGCCCAAAGTTAAGGCCAGGTGAAGATGACGAAGAAGATGATGACGCTGCTCAAGACAAGGCAAGAGCATGGGATGACTGGAAAGATGATAACCCCCGTGGTGCTGGCAACAAGAAACTCACTCCTTGTGGTTAAGGAAGCAGCTGCCGGTGAGCTGGAGTATCCAAAACATAAACTGCTGCAGCATTTGAAGAAGCCGTTCTGAATTAGACTGCCCTGTTAGTTGTACGCCAAACTTATCCATAAGTTTGAAACCATTTTATTTCCAGTTTACATGTACTAAATTATACGCTGACTTTGCTTATATGTACTAAATTAGATCGCTGATGTATTGTACAGTAGTTCTAATGGAAAGGTATTGATGTCAATATCTCCAGTGAGGACAGAATGATGAACAAACTGTAGGTGCGAGAATATTACTTCTAAAACACAGTTTCCCGTTGCAACGTGGTGAAAAAAGCCATATCAAATTGTACTGGTGCTCTGTTAGGCTGCTCAGGAGAAGTGAAAGGTCAAATCATGTATATGAACTGTGCATATCCCATTTTTGCATAGCAGTGTTATGCAATTCCAGGAGAAGCAAGACAATACATAGATGTTATGAAGTTCATGACCAAAGCATCTGTTATTTCTTGCTTGTTTGTAAGATTCAGCTATTGTAGCTACAAGGAACCTACAACCGATTCTGGGTGGTTAGAACGACAAAATACGAGCAATATGCAAATGGAACATGGAAATGCTCATAAAGTAGGTACAAATTACTCTTGTGATGGAGTAGAAAAAGGGGGGAAATTCTTAACTTGGAGAAGGATAGGTGTGACAACCTTAATGCTAAATGCTTCCCTCATGTGGCAATACCAAAGGGAAAATTTCACATCAGAACAACTGGGCTCCCTACTTTTCAATTTTATAGCCCATATTTCAATTTACAATCAACTAGCACAAAAATAATAGGCTAATACTCAACATTCAACTCCAATAGATTCTCGAAACTACTATTTAATTTTTAGAAAAAATTGCTCAAGCTTTTAAGTTAATTTTTGAATAAGTAACTGTGACACAAATATTAGTTCAAAAAACCAGTTCCATTTGGGTGGTGAATTAGATTTTTAACAAGCTTAAATATGTGGGTTTAAATTTCGAATTTGATTTTATGAGAACTTTAGAGTGGGTGTTATTTAGAATTGTTAGAAATAGTATAAGGAGGTTGTATATAAAATTCGAAGTCATTTAATGGAGATTTGGACTGGTTTTGAACAAGAATTGTAACTGAAAATCGTAGAAGAAGTTCGTCTACAGATGCTTGTATAAATGTGTATAAAAGTGTATAATAGTGTATAAGATGTGTTTATACACTCATATACACTATTATACAAGATTATACATAATTATACAAAAAACTGACTTCGTCTTCAACCTTGCGTTTTTTCTGAAATTTAACTCAAATCTTGATCAAATCTACTCCAAATCACTTCAAATTTAAATTTTGAACTCCTTTTGATATTTTCAATCAATTGGAACAACACCCAATCGAAACAACTAACAAACTCAAAAAATCCTATTTTCGAAAGCAAAGCTTTGAATGGCCTTCAATGGTGGATTTCTACTCTTCAATTTTCTGACATTGCAAACAGGGGGAGAATCAGAAAATACACGGCCCCTTGAAGCATATGTAGAAAATGTGAGAAGAAGAGAGAGTGAAAGCAATGGTTGTGAGAACACAGATTTAACTCCATAGCTTTTAGAAGCAATGATTGTAAGAACACAGATTTAACTCCATAGCTTTTAGAAGCAATGGTTGTAAGAACACAGATTTTAAATTTGCTAATGCTTTCAAAATATGTACAATATGGGCTAGGTAAGGTAAAACTTAAAAACATAGGCCATTTTTTGTTATGGTGTGAAGTCATGTGTATTTTCTTGTAATTCTTTCATACCAAATGCGTGGTGCAGTTCTTAAGGATTTAATATGACTTATGGTCTCTATGTTCTAGCCCATTCTTGGTCTGAAAACTAGCTCCTTCACTTATATTCCCAGAGTTCATTCCATTTGATGCTGAAAGTAGATCCAAAACATTTTCCTTGATTTAAACTTGTCGATCTGTTGTCACTTCACTACACGATAAACATATTAACATAGTTCGCGTATTTAATTAGTTGGTTGTTAGAAAATAGACATCATGATCCAACAAGATCGAATCAAACTCTTAATGTGTTGTAAATCTGAGCCATGGAGTTAACAAGCCACGCATGTTACTTGGTCAAAGGCACAAATTCACTACATTGGTGAGCAGTATATCCTTAAGACTGCAGCACATTAGAAGAACAAGAAGCAATAGAAAAGATTTCTAAAGTATGGTATCAAGAACATACCCATCTCATAAAACTTCAGTTACTAATCAAACTACTCAATGTACTACTTTTGAAAATTAGTTCTCAAATATTCACTAATTTCTGTGCCATCTGAACCTAATATATCACTCCCCTTGCAATAAGTCACTTCAAGTTGAGCCTTCAACTCAAGCCAAGGCCTCTCTAACCTCCAAAGATCAGCTATCTGACACTTCTCCCCTAAGTTCACCCAAGAAATTAGCCTGGATACCTCTTTTTTGTTCGCCTTGGGACTCAAACCTTTCACTGCAATCCTTGCATCACGAAATGCTGGGAAGCACTTCTGTTTTGCAAATTCATGGCATTTCCCCTTTGCTGCTTCTAGGCAAGCCTCCATTTCGCGTTCTTCGCATCTTGCTCTCTCTGCAAAGTCTTGATTGGAAGCACTACCAGTGATCGATTTCCACCAAGGGGTTTTACATTTGTCTGAGGCTGCAATTGAGCAACCAATCCTGGCTCCGGATTCACATTGTTGAGTGACTTGAGATTCACAAGCCTTGTATGCAGAGACCCAGGAGAAAGGGTCTTTAAATGCAAGGATGAATCTGCCAGCTGTTTCTTCTTGTGAACCAGGCCTGATGGGACCTCGAAGTAGAGGGACTGGTTGGTCAAACGGAATCAGAGTCTTTGATGCTGAGTATTCCTCGAGGTCGGCTGATGGCACCTCTGAGGGCAGTCGTTCTGGTGCTTTCATAGAGGAATTTTTTTATTGTACTCCACGTTGGGTCCTGAAGAGAAGAAACTAACACCAGGATTATCATGATGCCAAAGATAACCACCTAAGGTTGTATTTATATCATCGCCAAAAAATACATCTGCAACATGGACATTTGGATAGTATCATGCAAGATGACATGAACTACTGGAAATTGAATAAACTGATAATTGTATAAAAAAGCTTTAAGTCTAGTGGCTTGTGCTAAGATGAAAATGTTTTGATATGGAAAGCTGATAGAATTAGATTGTTAGTTTATCGAGAACAATAGAGCATTGTTCATACATGACCATGTATAATATGTCAGCTGCTAAATGTTAATCAAGTTCGGCCACCCTACCTTGTCTCTTATATTGTTTCAGTTGCTCTCTGTTTCAACATATCTGATTCTGTCCATCCCATGCAAATGTCAAGTATTGCTTCCTTCCAACCTTTGGTACTTGAATTACGAAGCGATATCTGCCTGACACTGTCAATTCAAGGAATTAAATAATGTATTGATAGAACATATCGAGATACTTATTAAACTGGTCTGGAGGCAACAATGAGGTGAGAATTCGGAAGCTGAGGTTTATTATATTTCTCTCATTCAAATCTTGGAACGATGTTCCATCAAATTAGTAGGATATGACAACACTTAAACTGAACCTGCCCAATGCTTTAAAGTACCCTGTTGAATCGTACATCTTCTACTCCTTGAGCTTAACAATATGGCTGAAAAGATTCACCAGCTATAGAGGATCAAATTACAGAATTGCTACAAAGAAACCATTAAGGCCTTGGTAGTTTCGCAAATCTAGCTGTCCATAATCAGTGGCAGATGCAGCATACAACTACCAGGTTCAACTGAACCCTAGTTGAACCCAGTACTTTCAACGCTGAACATAAATTTACGTATAAAAAATCACTAAAATTGCAATAAATAGTAGATATGAACCCATAATTTTAAATACTGAACCCATAGAACTAAAATCCTAGATCCTCCTCTGTCCATAATATGTAATATGATTCATTACTCTATTCAAAAGTCCCTTGATAAGTTGATATTACTCTGTTGAAAACCACCTTGTTAGATGCAAAACAGTATCTGCACTTAGTAGCAACGCATATTCTAATCTCCCATGAATTTTAACAGCAATTTGTACTATGGAACAAGAAGGTTTATATCCCACTTCCACGCGTTGACTTCTCTAGACTTGTCGTTCTCACTTACACTTGTAAAGGCTGAGGGACGTTCAAGAAGCCACCTTGCTTCATCCCGCAGCCATCACAGAGTGCTTTAAATTAAAGAATATAAAGTTATCTATCCGCCATGGTTGATAATCAACTCCAAAAGTAATGTACCCGCATTACTTAATAGCAGAAGTTATATATCTAGCGTGGTGGTTAGTGATCAACTCCCTAAAAGAAGCTAAATAATTTGATGATACTTGTAGAATGAAAGCAAAATAATTCAAGTATTCTTTTTTCGCAATGTATTTCTCAACAATGATCAACCAAAAAATCCTCATTCCTAAACTAGTCAGGGGTCAACCATGCAAAATCCTTATATCTAGTAGTGGCGAAGCTAGGAATTTTCCTAAGGGTGGTCAATATGCGTTATATACCTCTAAAACGTAATATTTTACCTATGTACACAGTGCAACTTTTCGACGAAGGGTGGTCAACTGACCACCCTTGTGACCATGTGGCTTCACCACTGATATCTAGTCGCTATTCCGTTTCACTTGGACCTATTTCATCCCAATATTAGTAAATAATCCGTCCTTTGAGGAAACAAGGGGTTATCTAACACTAGCGAGTTCCATTTATTGACATACAATTCTTTTTTGCCAGATTAAAGACGCTCCTAGCAAAAACCGGACCCAATGTAAGTAGATTTCTCAATACTAATATGCGAAGAAAATTACTCTTCAATTCTTCTAATATGGGAAACAGAAACAGATTCAACATTTAACTTCATATACACATCCAGAGGAAAACCCATGTTAGACTCTTACCGCCACCACTGCATGCCTCATGAAAGGTCTTTTCTGTAATTAGCACTTAGATCTCAAGAAAAAATAGTAATTCTCATTACTCGAGGTACAATATCACAAATTTGAGCTGTTATCACATATGAAGCAAATAAAGAACATATATTAACTTGTAAAAGTCACAAAGAAAAAGGATATATCTAAGATTTTAAGTCAGTGGTTGCATTCCTTCTGATAGTGAGTTCAAACCTAATACTCCATCCGTTTTTATTTATGTGAACCTATTTTCTTTTTAGTCCGTGCCAAAAAGAATGACCTTTTTCCCTATTTGGAAACCATTTTACTTTGTGCAATGATTTATAGCTACACAAAATATATGTGACAATTTTACACCGCAAGTTTAAAAGTATTCTCTCTTTTCTTAAACTCCGTGTCCAGTCAAATGGGTTCACATAAATTGAAACGGAGGGAGTATATAAATAAATAATTAGGAGATAATTAACTCTGTATATAAATATACACACAGTGGCGGAACAAGAGGATTTTAAAAAATGTAAACTTGCACTGAGAGTGAGTACACTTAGCTATCAAACAGATTCAACAATTTATATGTATACCAATAAGAAAAATATGCATTCCAATTTACTGAACTTCGTGTTTTAACAATAAAAGAGAATATGTGCCTAAATTAGAGATAAACAGAAAGGAACTATCTTGATGAGAAAGAAAAAGAGAACATACAAAATGGTTAAGCTGCAGATAGAAAGCTTGAGGAGAGCTGGCAGCTATGGAAAAAGAAGCTCGAGCATAGTTTGAGGCTGGAGAGAATCGCAATTTGAGTTGTTTTAACTGGACCAGTCCGCTAGAAGAACTTTCGGGTCGGGCATTTCTTTCCTATGATTTGCACCGGGTAGTCGATTTTACCTCTGTTATTTTTATAGCCTGTTTGGCCAAGCTTCTTTTTTGCCAAAGGTGTATTTTCTTTTTTTGCCAAAAGTATTTTTGGTCAAAAATTGAGGTGTTTGGCCAAGCTTTTGGAAGGAAAAAAATGCTTTTGAGGAGAAACAGAAGCAATTTTGGAGAAGTAGAAAAAAGTAGCTTATCTCCAAAAAGCACTTTTTTGAGAAGCACTTTTGAGAAAAATACACTTAGATGCAGTTTTTTAAAGCTTGGCCAAACACTAATTGTTGCTCAGAAGTGCTTTTCCAACTAATTAGCCAAACACAAACTGCTTCTCACCAAAAGTACTTTTGAGAAAAGCACTTTTGAAAAAAAGCACTTCTCAAATAAGCTGATTTTTGCAGCTTGGCCAAACGGGCTATTAATTATATCCCGTTCTTTCATAGTATTTAAAACAAACGAGATTGTTATAGTGATATTTGATTGTATATGTCTTTTAATTAGGAATGTAAGTTTTTGCTTAGGAAATATCATCCACCTCATAGGTATTTTAAAAATAATAAAATTAAGAACAACAATTACTTCCTCTATTAGTTGGGACAATATTGGGTTTTTTTCACTTTTAGCTCGCGCCAGAAATTATTTATATTCAATAGCTGAAAAAGTATATAAAATTTATATAATTTTTGTATATAACATATATATATATATACAAAAAATATATATATTTTATCGGCTATTATTTTAAGAGCTGCTATATATATAGTATCATTTTTTCCGACAATATTCCTATCAATTGGACCTATATTTTACCTTCTTACTCGACTTGGCCCATTTTATATATAACTTGAAAATTTTGAATCTTACAAAAATATCCCAAAAAAGTCACAACTTACCAACCTCTAGCCATTAATTATAAACTTACCAGAATTAGCCAAACACATATAAAAATTGAAAACCCAAAGAAATAAAGTTCTTTTTCTCCAAGAATCACACACAAAGATCTCATTCCATATATTTAGGTGTGACTAACAATATTTGATGCAATACGAAAAGGAAATTTCATGAATGAGGTAGCAAATCAAAAAAAAAATTATATATATATATATATATATATATATATATATATATATATATATATATATATATATATATATATATATATATAT